CTTTGATGCAAATCCACCCCTTTGATAAAAATCCACCCATTTGATGAAAATCCACCCCTTTGATGCAAATTCACCCATTTGATACAAATCCACCTCTTTGATGCAAATCCACCCCTTTGATGCAAATCCACCCATTTGGCACGGGGTGTCAAAGGGGTGCATCTAAACTTCAAATGATGCAAATCCATCTCTTTGGCACGGGCTTGTTAATGCACAAAAAAGTGTAAATGTGAAAAAAGGGAAAACCCACAGTACAGTATCGAACTGTAATTTTAACAATTCAACAACAACATCAACACATAAACAGTTGCAACATCTTGTTGAAATCATAAAATCTACTCTAAATAAAGACGAATGCAGTGTAAAAAATTCATCTTAATTTGTTAAATGCCATAGAATGTTTTATTAATAATAATGAAATTCAGGTTTCATTTGATGTTGTTAACATACCCATCAGTGACACTTAATAAAGTAAGTTTTGCTAAAATTGGCATTTTAAACAAAAATATTTTGGAGAAAGTCGGATAGCCCAGTACATTTATGGAAAAAATAGAATTTTACACATTTACTAACAGAAAGTGTCAAAAAGATTTAATTAAAAGTATAAACATTTATTTATTAAATTAAAAACAAAAAGATAATTATTTTGTACCTTAGTAATATGCATAACTAATGCTAAAGAAAAATATAAACTGCTAGAAAAAAGGCATGTTTTATAATTGCAGAGTAGCTCCGGAATTTAACCACGATTTTACTTCTTTTTTTACTCGCATGGCACAAATATAATTTATAAGTACTTAGCGTTGGAATGTCATTATTTACAAATATAAACATCACCTTTTTACTTATATAAAGTAAACGCTTTAATAACACTTTTTCAAATCTTAGGTCTTTTTATTGAAATTAAACGAATTTCTATTATGGGTTTGTGTATTATATTAAATATATTATTATTTATATAAAAAAGTTGCTCATTTTTAATGTGTAAATGGATTAAGTTGTCCCGAATCACCCTCCAAACATGTGTCCGATAACACCCGATCATAACTTATTCACAAATATTAGTTTTAAAATCAGTGAATTAAAATATTAAACGAATATATTTATTTTATAAATACTGTAAAAAAAAAGTATTTTTAATAAAAAAAAATTATTAGTTTATATAAAAATTAGAAATACTATTAGGTGAATCAAATATGATGATCATCGCTCTTATGGTGGTCGAAAATAATATCTTACGCTCCCAGCCAATCGTTTTGCTATATTATGATAGACTTTTTACATATTCCATATTATCACTCAATAATCTTTTTATAGTCTTTAAAACCACATAGCTTCTTTAGTTTAAGATGTACAACAAGTGTCCGGAGTTTTCCGCTTGTTCGATTTACCAATTTAGATGACGAGAATTTTTTTCTTACAATTTTAAATTTACAAGATATAGTTAACCAGTATACTTGTAAACATCAAAATGCTTAACATCAACAAAATTTTCAAGATGTTTTTATTTCAACCAATCCTTCACAAATATGTTTTCAACATATCGTAAGAATGCAATCACAATCATACTTGTAAAACTAAATTCAACCATTTCACCAAGTATAACCTTGTTGTTTTACCATGGATACCAAAACGGAGCATTATGCTTAGATAAGCATTTTTTAAAGTTGGCTTTAAACCACCTTTTTAGTAATTCCTTATACAACACACTTTGCCATTATAAAACTTCCTCAAAACAGTTACCTGCGGGTGTACCATGTTGATTGCACTTGTGGCGCATGTTACATTATGAAACTAGAAAAAAGTTTTCTACACGAATCCAAGAATATAAAAAAAATAAATAAAGCTATTTGGGAGGCATTTGGAGTTGTGGAACATAAACAAGAGTTTTCTACTTCAGTTTTAATAAAAATTGTTTTTTAGATTGTTTTGTCAAAATAAGCATACTTTGACAAAACAATCAATTGTTAAGTTAAATGAAATCATTATTATTTTTGAATATAAGCGAAACAGAACCTATGGCAAGTATTTTTTTAATCTATCTTGTTGATAAAATATGTAATCGTCATGTCTAGTTATAAATAACATGAAAAATTTCTCATTTGTGCATCATCAAATTAGTCTGTATTAATAAAAATTTTTTTCGCTTTCTATCAAAAGTGCAAAATAACTTTTTGAAAGTCATCGTAGGTGATTACGGACAGTGAGGACCTTCCAAGTAGAATCTTCAAGTTTTAGTTTTATCATTTTTTTTTATCAAGAATTATGGTTATAAATAGAGTTGATCTCCGCGGCAGTTACTTACTTGTTTCTCTAAAATAAATTTCTAAATTAAATAAAATCTCATTCTTCAATCATTTTCGACATTTTAACAGATCTTGCTCTTTTTCAATATATTCATTGACATTTGATTCAAAAGTAAATAGATCAGCTTGTAATTTTACGAAAACATAATTTATCCGCTTTGTCCTAGTTAAGTCTATCCCTGGTTCCAACTGCATTCTATACTTTTAAATTTTGTAATAATAGGACCCATTTTCTAAAATAGTTCTAAATTATTTAAGTCTTTATTTTTTAAATGGTTGAAACTGTTGAAATTGATTGTTGAAGTCAATTGCAATGAATGCCACACTAACACTCAAATTCAATGTTATTTCTAATTGTTTTTTATCGGCACCAACAACATGATTAAAAACAGAATATTTGTCTGTTTAATCCATTATTTTTTCATTCTCTAAACCCATAATTCTCTTTGATGTTAAAGAACTATAACTAAACTTTGCCGAACTATATTTGCAAGAAAAATACAATCATCCAAGTTTGTGAATACGTATTTACAAACTGCATCAACGACTACTGGGCAACTATCTTATTTAATAAGATTTTCCATAAGTCTTTTTAATACTCCTTGAACATATGGCTCTTTAAATTCAAAATGCTGTTCATTTATGACGTCATTAGATAAACTTGCATGCATCTTGCTAAAGAACATTTGCAGTTCAGAATGCATAACCTTTAGTTTTACAGAAAAAATGACGTTAATTCCAAAGACTGCTAGCACAAATAAAGTAGCTATAATGTAACCAAAAACCATAGAACCTTGCACTAAGCAAGGAATTTTATTTGTTATATACTAATGTTGGTCTAATTCCATGTTTTTTTAATAAAACTTGAACCAAACAAGTTTAATACCTATGATGGAAAGATCATAGACTGTTTCCGTACTTTTGTTAATAAATATATTTAACACAAAGCCCTTAAAAGGGTTATCCATATTCATTTCATTTCATTAAGACTTTTTCGAAAGTTCTGTTAAAACTTAAAGCTGCATTTGAAATGCAAAACAGTTAAATAAAACTAAACAGTTAAGATTTCTCAATCGAGTATATCTGCTGTGTTTTTAGATATGCCTATATTATGAACAAAACGGACATCTACCTTCTGGTATAGTTCTTATATGGAGTATATAGGCTTTCTGTTACATTTAAAATGTTGTTTTTATTCCACCTACAATATTTTCTGTAGTTTTTGAAGCAGTTGCTAACGCAAGCAAAGTAAAATAATATTCTCAAATAATATGTCAACCAGAAAGTATAAAGTATAAAAGCTTCAACATGTTTTCGAGTTGTAGAGCCAGTTGCGTGATTATATTATATTACTTTATTATACCCCCACTATTTTTAGCTTGCACAATTCTATCTGCAATCAAGAGAATACACACGCATCTGTTTTAGTTTTTTAAGTGTGGCTCTGCATGCTGGTCTTGCTGCACTTTTATCGTACTTAAATATACTGTCATTTTTATCTGTAATTTTCAATTTTGCTTTATAAATTCGATTGCTGATTAGTTTCAGAGCAATTTGCATTTCTTTCTTTGAGAACCCTTCTTTATGTAACTCTGCACACGCATAGTAGATATCATTTAAGAATACGTTTTTTGATTGTCGCACATTAGGTGGAACGTGAGTATTGGGAAAACTATCTTGAAATAATAATTTTTTATTTTGATCCGGTTATGTATAGCTGTTGTGGTGCACTTAAATCAACAAATAAAACTCTCTTTTTTTAAATTGGTTCAGTGTGTTTTCTTAATTTTCAATTCTTTTTTAATCTTAATTTTCAATTCTTTTTTAAGAAGTTAATCTTCAACTTTAAATTCAATTAACCCGCTGTCATCATAATCAACGTATATGTTTTAATTATTTTGGTGTTTTTTATCAATTTTGAGGTAAAATATTGTGAAGCAGATTTTAAATCTTTTAGAAAAACCTAAGTTTTTTATCACAATTTTAGTTTTAGTTGATTAATGATGTTTTAATTGAGTTTGACTTTAAATACTTATAACTTAACAAAATTTTTTATAAATGAATATTGTAAAAACAAGTGACTTGTAGTTATTATTATTGTTGTTATTTTTAAATCCAATGTTATTGTAATTATTATAATTGTTGTCATAATATCATAGGTATTTACTTAAAACGAGTAATTATACCATATGCAAATAACCATACCATATGTAAATAACCTTAAAATGTGTAAAACGTTAACCTACTTTGTTGATTTTTAGGCAGAAATTTCAGCGGATAAAAAAAAAATTATTTTGCTTCAAATTGCTTTTTTGTTTAAGATTGTAGCTTGAATTGCTACTACATATTGTATTTAGCATAAAATTTAGTATTAAAGCTAATTATATTTTTCTTGAAATAATTTTGAAGCTTTTTTTGATTTCAATTATTTTGAACTCGCGATGCATTACTGACTTATTATTTTGGAATCGTTCTACATTTAACATTATTTATTAGAAAAGCATATAAAAAAAGTTACAAAGCAATATAAATTATGTATATAAAATTTTGGTTTAATTATATCTTTTTCGTTTTATAGGCCCGTATTTCCGCAAACAAATCTTTTTACAATTAAAAAACAAATACTTTTAGGTGCACACTTTAATATGGAGAAAATTTTTTACCACCGTAAATAGTTCTAAAATATTAACTTACTAGTTGAGTTTTCAGTTGTTTCCCTGTAACTAACTCATATTTGGGAGGTTCATCGTTCAGAAACTCTTTAGATAAACTTAAATATGTCGGCAACTGTTTTCTACGTAAACTATCTGTGGGACCAAACGAATCAACTCTAATATTAAGTTCATTGAAATTTGACAAAAGTTTATTTGAGATTGGACCCTCAATAGGCGGTAATAACTCAGCAGCTTCTATTTCAACGGATCCAAGTCCTTTCAAATTATTACATTCAAAGTGAATAGCAGTCTCATTTAAAAGTATTCCGTTACCACTGCTGTTTAGAACGCAATTATTTTCACTACTTTTTAAATAACATAATGGCGGACAATCAGAACTTGTAACAATGTTTGAAGTAGCAACAGAAACCTCCTGAAATATATTTCCTAATTTCTCAGTGCCTACTTCTATGACGTGGCTTTTATTTTCAACGTAATTTTCTTCTTTACTAATAACCATACTGCACTAAAATAGTGTTTTAACGAATTACCAAATTGTTTTAAAAGAAAAATATTTTGAATAGTGCTGTTAAAAATTTAATATGATTTGGTTAAAAACCGTCTTAAGAGCAAAGTCATTTTATTCGCTACCGTGAACAACAAGTTTGTTTATCGTTGTTTTTTTATATAACATCTGCTGTCATGTTTCTATAACGCGATTACGAAATCATTGTTAACGACGTTGTATTGGGATCTGATAATGACAATGTAAAAAAGATTAATTTTTATTATTATATTAAGGTAATCGTCATGCAGTTTGCACTAATATAAATAAATTTACTTCTGCTTTTGAATAGATTTTTTTATGAAGCGACATCATTATCACTTTTTTATTAATAAAATAATAATCTTCTATATTTTTGCCGAGGAAATAACGGTAAAACAAATACATATTGTTTAAAAACTAAAAAAATTTGAAAGGGTTGATAAGTATTTTTTATTATCACTAATTAAAAACTGTTTGTTTAATACATTAATTTAAAATTGCACAATAATGCTAAACAACACATGTAGCAGGACATAAAAACAGACCGGGTTTTAGAACTAATGAAAACAAATTATATTTAAAAACATAAAATAATTAGTATATATATTTTGTATGTTAAGTATGTTTTAATACTGTAAACTGTTTAATTTAAGAAGAAGAATAAAAGTAGATAATATTAAAACAAAATTTTTCAGATTTTTAAAAAAATAAATTTTGTTATAAACTTTTGCAAAAACTAAATTTTTATTCGCCGGTTTTTAAAATTGACAACTGACATGCCATCTTATTTATATCCGATTGGTCAGCAATTTTTTTTTACATACAAAACGTTTAAATAGATCTAATAAGAGTTGTATTCTATTTTAGTTTATAGAAAGTTTTTTCAAGGTAAAAGTTACTAAATAAGTCAGGGCCAAACGCAAGTTTGATAGACAATAAAATATGCTTTTTTGATTAAGGAACTAAATGATGTTACTTCTTTTTCTAAAATATAAAAAATAGTTCTAGCTTTGTTTGAACTAAATTATAATCCTGAAGATTTGCACCTTGACTGGTTAGAAATACATTTTCTGACATTTTCCAACGAAATTTATTATAGTTTAAGAAATATTAGAAATAATGACTGAGTTATCGAGTAAATATTAAATATTAGAAATAATGAGTGAATTGAGAAATAATGACTGAATCGAGTAAAATGTAAGAAAAAATGACTGAATTGAAGAAACACACAATTTTTAAAACTGTCAGTTTTAAAAATGGTTTCAAAAACTGAATTAAAGTTTTTTTCAGTCAAATAAATTAATTATAAATTCTGTGTGAGTAACATTACAATTGAATCGTTTAGAAGCTAATTTTTACGACGATGGTTTTGAAAATCGGTTTAGAGTCTGTACCAAGTAAGGTGTTGTCCATAAATTACGTCACGCAATTTTAGACCGTTTTCGAACCCCCCCCCCCTCTCGTCACAAAATTGTAACACTTAAGAAGCGAGTTTTAAATGAGTCGTCACAAAACCACCAACCCTCCTCCCCCCGTTATAGCGTGACGTAATTTATGGACGACCCCTAAGGCAAATTCTTAAGCACTATTAATAAAATTGTTCATAGCGTTATCATCAGAGTTGATTTCTGTCAACATTTTTATTTTGCAATCAATTACAGCTTTTGCATCAACTATAAATATTTTGTTTCCAGAGTTTCAGTAAGTTACTTCAGTTGGTCACACGGTGTTTCATACCCCTAATAAAAAAAAAGTAAAATTAAAAGAATGTATTTATTTTCAAATAGCATGCGCTTTTGATTTGTTTCGTTTTTCAAAACATGTGTTTAATATTTGAGATTTAAGTTAAATTACATTAAATTTTTGTGACAAAATCGGAGAATGACAGGATATTTACCCAGGATTTAATAAACTACTTATTACAATGTTGAATATTTAAAACAATGTACATATACCATTTTTATTGCTTCCTTTTATAATTCCAAAAGTTGGCTAACAGATACTTACTTACTTACATACTGTTAAACGGTCACGATACAGTAAGCCTGACGTTGTATCACCAGACGCTGAATAAATTCTTTTTTACAATTAAGTTTTTGTTTAACTAGAAGTTCAATAAATTTGTTTTGGAATTGAATTTAATGAATTTAAACTGTTTAAAACAACCCAGTGGCCATGCGTTGTCTGTGTCTCATCCAACGAACGTCCCCAGGATGACACGTGCCCAAACATCTATCTATCGAATTAAAAGCAAAAAAATACAGTGCACTTTAGTGTAACACAAAACATAAAAGAAAAAATGTAACAAAAAATTAGAGGGTAGCCCCGGACATACATTTTAAAGGGAAGTTTGCTTCTTTTGAAAGCATTAGGCACATACTTTATACATTGTTTATCTAGCATTTTATAACGGGCATTCCAGTTATTATAAAGAAGCAGGATTAACGTAATAACAACTTTTGTGTGACTATTTCTATAGGTTTATGGATCTTTTTTAAATTCAGAGTTAATGCCATCTAAGTCTGTCAAAATTAAAGGACCTTGATAACTTAGAAAAATTTTTTGAAGTTTTTGATACATTTAAAAAACAATTTCCTCTAGTCTATTCCATGATGAAAAAGAATGGAATTGAAACAAGTATTTTAAAAACAACATCATTTAGAACTAATTTATTTTATTCGAAACACATTATTGTAACTACAGGTACCTTTATTGGAAATTAAAACAAATTAACATATTTTATTTTGTTAAAACACTGATAAAAAAATATCAACGCAAACAACAAATAAATTTCCCAGATAAACAATACATACTTAAGATAATTTATTTTTTAACACCATACAAACTTAGAAGTCAAAATAGTCCGAGGCAGGAATTAGCACAATTTTTATGTGCCCATTTAGTCTTTACGTGTAAAGCACTAAATCTAGTATTCATCAAAATTTTCTTCATTAATATTATAAATTTGACTTTGTTTTCATTACTTTTAATCAAACGAGTAATAATTTTTTTTTTCTATACTTTTTTCGGATTTCTTTCTTTTATTGATTGAGTGAGTTTAGGAAGTTTTCCATGGATATCAACGAGTTGTTTTATATAAGGAGAAAAGGTGAGAACTTCTTTTTTTTTGACTTTTTTTTTTTTCTAGAGTTAATTCTTTTTTGAAAAATTGTAGGAATCTGAGATAAAACAATTAAAACATTAGTAACTTCAGATTTAGTCCCTCATTAAAAGTTAATTATTTTTTCGAAACGATTTCTATGACCTAAAGTCATAAAAGCATAATTTCATGGCACTCAATACCAAATAGCTACTTTAGTTTTAACTTTCAATAAGTGTCCGGGGTTACCCGCCGTCCGAGGCTACCCGACTTTCCCCTAAATAAACTAGTAACACTGTTTTAAATAGATGATAAAATAAATAAAATAGTGCGTCATATAAGTCTCAAAAAAATTTTCTCAGTGACCATTGACTTTTTAATAGGCTATTATTACCATTTCACTTCAAACACCGTGACTTTAAAAGTTAGGATGTTTGAAGTCAAACTTCTCCAATGTAGGAAGTTGACTTAAATCCTCCTGAATTTTATTATCTCCTAATTTTCGAGACGGTTCTAAAGTCATACTACACAAAAAGATATTTAGAAAGTATTTTAACTCTATACCAATAAGTAAGTATATTTGTATAGTTTATTTAATTAAATTTATAATTTATATTATAAAATTAGTAAGTAGTAAGTTATTGAAGAAATGAATTAAATTAAAAAATTAGATAAAAAATTATTAAAAACCAAAAATAAAAAAATTCAACAAAGGTCAATAAAAATGAAGCAAATATTTCGCATCTAACACGTTGACACAATAAAACGAAAAAATGTAGACAAACCAAGTCAATGATAAAAGTGCCGTAATGTTTTGAGCAAAACTTTAGTCAAAATAGTGAATGGTATCACTGCAAGAAGTTTTATTGCATCAAAAAGTGCAGTGCAACTCAACTCAACCCACACAACCTCTGCTAAAAACATCATTACATAGATAAAAATATTTTCTTTATAAATTGGTTGTATTTTTAATTGTTATCATTGACTGCATTTTTTAATCAGGTATTCTTTTAATAACCCATCAATTTGCATAATTCATTCTCCCCAAATATGAGTGTAGAATATATTTCAAAAAACTTTATTTAATTGGAAAGTTAAATAAGGTTACTTTAAAAGCAAACAAACAAAAAAATTATTTGATTTTTACATATTTAAATACACCTCAAAATTTTCAAAAACTTAAAAACAAAAAACAAAGAATTAAAAATCTTTTTCACGCAAAAAAAATAAATTAAAATTCTAAACTACTTCATTTAACCTATTTAACTAAAATAAAAAATTACAGTTTTGAAAATAATGTTTGTTTTGAAAGTTTTGAAAATTAGATTGAAAACAAATAATAATTTTTCTTAATATATGTGCATATTAGTTCTCGTTTCTTGTAAAATTTGAAGTTTTACCTGCGTTTTCAAAAGAAATTTTTGGGATCGCTAACGTATTTTTGGGGAAAGGAAGGGGAAGGGGGCTCTAACGTATTTAACCTTATTTTCCGTTGCGCACTATTGGTTCGTACTTTTTTAAATTGTTAATAAATATACTGCCAAGTTTTAAACATTAAAACTTTAACTCGTTTTCAGTTACCTTTTACACTTGTATCGCTCAATTTGCGACACATTCACTCCATCGATCTAATTTGATGTATGACATCTAGCTTCGTCTTGTACAAAAATTTCTTACTTAGGGATGGTAAAGGCATCTAAAAATTTTTCTAATAAAGGAGTTATACAGGCTTTAGAATTCATTTTAGAACTTTGTTCCAAATGACTCGGAGAAAATAAAAAGTTCTTGCCTACTAAAAAAGCCCTTAACCATTAGGTGTTCAGAGTTATTAACTACTTTTTTTTTGTATAAGAGATTAAATCTGTCAAAATCTCGAGGCCGGTACACACGGATTTGGTCCTTTTCTTAGATGGAAAAGTTACTCCAAATTATTCCAAATTACACGCAATCACTGTTCTGGTGTCCAATGCCTACATCTACGGAGAAATTGCAATTGTGACAATTGCTAAATTATAGTAATAATTTTTATGTTGCATTGCGACTAAGTAAGTTTAAAGCTGTGTTGCAGCGTGTTAA